CGGCATTTGGCTGTGAGAGTTGAATGGAGGTGGCGGGTTGGGTTCCATGACTACAGCCATGATTGGGTCGGAAAAGGCTTTTTGGAACGTGAACGCACTCTAAGGCTGAGACTCATCAGATGATAATGAAGTCAGATGATGCCTAAATGAACCAGCAAGGCGTTTGTAGCGGCAGGGCACAAGTTGCACTTGAGATACAAGCTGAAAGTTTAAAAGTTTGCTTGGATCCAAGTCACTTATATTTTGATTCGAATAAGATGGTAATTACAATAACCGCCTCAAGCAGAGGAAATAAGCCTTCATAAACCGCGCAGAATAAGGCAAGACATGAGTCGAACGCTGCAGGAGGATTCACTATCACGACCCAAAATATATGCAATAAAAAGGCAGAACTGTGAAGCCTTCGCCTCAGATTATTACTGCAACCAATCATATTGCATCTTCTTAAAAAAGGACAAGCAATAGAATTTTCGGGTCGCCTTATGCAGCAGGAGAGCCAGCGATCAAAGCCAGGGATTATTCCATGCAGCTCCTTCATGTGCGGCATGACATCAGTGTACAATTATCGGGCGATTTAGGATGAACCAGGGTATTGCATTCATGCCAAGCTACGCGGCTCTGAGTTGTTTTTCCGGACGACAGCCCTTCATCTCCTAAGCTGTACTAGACTAATATTTTGCTCCTCTTTCAATGCAGTCATGATATGATAATCTCCATTATCGGGGTATAATGCGCGGTAACAGCAGCTCTCGGATGAGACTGCAGAGTTGGCTTGGCGCAGGTTGGGCTGGGGCCATCGTCCTCCTCGCTCTCCTTCTCTATCATCCATAGAGCGACTGTACTCTCAGCGAGGATCTCGTTCTCATGCGAATTCGTGCCGCAGGACTCGGATCTTCTTGTTACGAGCTGAGAATGGTGCTAGTGATGGAGGTCTCAGACTGGCCACACCAGGTTGAAGATGTGGTAAGGTAAGTATGTTTTGCGATCGTTATCTTGGACATTATGTAAAATAAATGTTGTTCTCGCGGAACGCCAAAAGAAGCCGTAAGAAATCGTTTTCGTCACACTTGGCTGATCGTGCTTCAGAAAGTTCAGTCTTCTCAAGGACATACTCAATCTTGCTCCGGATGAAGCTCTTGAGAGTGGCCTTGCTGACGGGGATTCCACACACAGACTGGTGAGCGTCTATTGTATCTTCGCTGTCACGGAAAAACTGCAAATCTTGCTCGCTGACTTTTTCGGGATCCATAGCCGCCCAAGTGATCCAGTTTCGCTGGCAGAGTTCTTCCGAATCAATGAAACTCGCTCGTAGAGTCTTGTTCTTCCTTGAGAAACAGATACGTAGCATGCCGTCTAGCTCTTGTATGTTGGCGGCAGGGACTTCTGGCCGTGGCTCCAATCTCACTACAACGGATTCGACTTCGGGTGGCGGAGAGAAGTTGTTCTTGCCGACCTTGGCGATCAGGGCGACTTTGGAGGTGAATTGTGTGTTGACTGAAAGGCGAGAGTATAAGGAATCGCCAGGTCGAGCGCATAACCGTAGTCCAAATTCTCGCTGGACCATAAGAATGCTGACGCGAGGAGGCCGAGGCAGAGAAATGAGCTTGGAGATGATGATGGACGAGATTTGGTACGGAGTATTGCTAATGCAAACGTCGAACGGGGGAAGAGCTTCCGGGAGATCTAATTTGGCGAAATCGCCCATAATAATTTCCAACTTTTGCTGCTCGGGCTTGCCTTGAACTCTTTTTGTTAACTCAGCTCCCATGCGTATGTCGAGCTCTACAGCCTTGACCGCTTTGGCTTGTTCTAAAATGCGTGTGGTGAGGACGCCGGTTCCAGGACCGATCTCGAGAACGGTGTCGGTGGGTTTGAGATTTGCCTTTGCGACAATCATATCGGCGATGCCAGGGTTCTTCAAGATGTGCTGGCCAATATTCGTGTTATATTTGAAGATGTTCTTGCGTTCAGGCTTATCGTATGGCCCCTTGCGGGCACCACCGCGCCTGCTATCTGACGATTTCGGCATTGCGTTCTTGACTGTGAGTACGATGGCAGGGTTTTCCTCTTTTTTTTTCTGGTGGTGTACTGAAGCATCTCGCAGGGTGGGGCACCCCGCGATTATCTTTTTAGTGGGTCATGATATGCGGAATAATAGCTGCTCCGTACGACATGGAGTTACTATAACCTTGTCTGTATCCGTACCTAAGGTATCATGAGGTAAGTCCGGTCTGCAAACCAGATATTTTCTAGCAATGCTTTGTGTCTTCGATATAGCAAGGCGATATGCTATCTCGTAGTAGAAAGTCTGGCTCTAATCACCTGTCTGGTACCACCCATAGTTGGACAGGGACCTCAGTCACGAACTCCGTGCTAAGCGTAGTTGTTATCGCTCAATTGAAAACAGCCCACATCCTGTTATGTGTGTCTGGTTAGCCGCTATACATATAGTAAACAATCTTAAGAACAAGTGATCGACAGTGACCTTCCTAGGTTGTCCTCGGGGTGCAAGAAGACTTCTGACGTTAAATTGAGGTGCCAAAATTACTTAGTCTAAGCTATACTAAATAAATTTATCTAAGCTGATCTGAAGACTTTTGTCACCTAAGATAGAGGTCCTAAGTTTTATTACACCCCCTTGGTTGTAAGGTTGTTGCTCTCTGGTACGTCTTTGAGTCAAGATGCCTGTGACGATTTTCCGTGATTTGCCGACCCTTTGCCGCCAACGGAGCTTCCCTGCTTTGGTAGCTCCATCTTCAAACATAGTGCAACTTGTAGTATGAGGTAGAACCTCGCATCGCCAATCATTTCTCAAAGGAAATGTCTTCACCGAGAGCCCGTCTGCCTCATGCAGGCAAACTCGGGGTTCTGATACCGAGATCGAAGCCTCACGGTGTCTCGATATGCCCATTTTGCTACATTACATCACGGCCCCGAATACGACCTCGTCGCGCTATCCTCGGAAAACGTTTCTACACTGTGTCGACGAATCCTCGTGCCGAGCTTGAACAACATCTTCTCGAAATTCAGAAACTCGCACCGTCTTTGGTGAATCTCTCAAGATTGCAATTGGCACTACAGGGACTGCGGCAAATACCTGGTCAGGAAGCTGTAAGGGTTGCGATATTGGGACTGGCACCTGGTTCGAAAGCGGGACAGACTGCGAAAAATGTTCTGAGGCTTTTGGTAACGGATCCGCTGCAGGATGAACAAGAATGGGAGCGCCAATTGAAGGATCATGATCCAAAGAACCCCCTCGTTGTTCGAATCCGGCCCACTGCAGAGCAGCAGAGTACTTTAACAGTCACCAGAACTAGCCTTCTGAGTGAGGTCAATGTATCTTCGGCGGAATGGAATAACCTCAACTTGGAGCTACTGTTCATGGAGACGCATCTTCCCGAGTTCGCCAGAGATGAGCAAACACGGGCTATCGAGGTCGAAGAAGCTGTTCTGGTGCCCAAGGTCGGCATTCCATCGGCTGAAGATCGAGTAACACCAGTTACTACACCTGTGCACAGGGCGATTCTTGTCGGTGATGGGTTTGAAGGAGCTGTCAATGTCACATCGGTACCAGTTGCAGAGGCAGAGGAGTCTGTGCTCAAAGTGGTTGATTTGAGAGGCGTTGACTCTAAGCAGCTCGATGCGGCCTTTGCGCTTGTTGATACATCACTTGCCGAGAGGGGAGTGTCACTCTTTCGTCAAAGTTCCAGTAATGCCATTGAGTATGAGCGGCTTTGGTTCAACAGTAACTTCCCTGCTTTAACAACATGGCTTAAGTCAGGGATCAGTTCCCACGATGGCACCACGAAACCCGCAGTGCGAGTGCTCATTACTTCTCTGTTAAACAACATTTTGGCGCGATGCGAGGAGGAAAATCGTCGTGAAATTAGGGAGACCTATCAGACTGCTCCCACTCTTAACGGACAGGGGCCGGACTTCTCCCCTGTACTGATTCAAGCAGCTGGTGCATGGTCACAGCAAGCTCATGCAGAGTTACAAGACGAGCTTGACTTGGCGTTCACAGGCCGAAGATGGCGAAAGCTAGGATGGTGGCAACTATTCTGGAGGGTTGATGATGTTGCCATGCTCACAAATGATATGCTCAACCAGCGGTTCCTACCAACAGCAGAGCGAGAGCTTGTTTATCTAACCGGGAAGATCGCGCAAGCTGCCAATGCGGACCAAAACTATCCACAACCACACTCTGTGAATGATAGTGACGCAAACCTTGAGCTGAAGCGACTTGGCCCAGGAGAGCTGGAACCATTGGCACCAGTGAACAACCGATCCGCACTACCAAAATGGCCTGGTCATATTGCCTTTACCCGAAGGTATCTCCAAAACGAGACTGTCCCTGCGCTACAAGCTCTAGCACAGCGCTTGGTTGTGCAGTCGTTAGGGACTTCGGGACTCACCACATCCCTCGCTGCCCTTCTCTATATCTCCTCCTTCTCCTCGACAGTATACGAAGCTGGTGCTGTAGCAGCACTAGGTATAGTCTGGAGTTGCAGCCGGTTACAGAAGAAGTGGGAGGCAGCGCGAACATTCTGGGAGGGCGAAGTGCGAGAAGAAGGCCGTAAGGCTCTCCGAGGCGTCGAGGACAGTGTTGCAGAGGTTCTCAGCCACGAGAAGCAACATGAACAGCCAGTTGTAGACCAAAAAGGCGATGAGATAAACGAGGTTCGCGAGCTGGTGGTCAAGGCCCAGGAAGCCCTTGGACGAATGAAATAAATGGGGAACCTGTACATTATGGACTGAAAAGCATTGGACTTAGAAGGTGACGAGATACCAGGCGCAAGAGACGCCTTCATTTTTGTAATCTAGTCAATCTCAAAAAAACCACCCTCTACTGTGAGGTCTCGCAAGCCTCACAAGGCATATCCCCCTTCTAGACTGGTATCAACCTAAGCCTTTTCACTCATTTTCCCAAAATCGAGGCATGCCCAGTGTAAAATCCAAGCCCGAACGCCAAAAACTCGCATATTTCTATTATGTCTTGTTTATCGTCCTCCTCCTCGTCCGCCTGCTCGCGCTCGGCTGACCGTTGCGCGACCTCTGGCAAGACCGACACCACGGCCACGTACGTTACGGCTACGGAACATAGGGGCGTTGCGAAGCATGTCGGGAACGATGAAGAAGCGCACGTGTGAGCCGCGAATGTAAACTTGGTCGAGATGGGAAACACGGCCGTCGCGAGCGGTGACGGTAATGTCCTTCAGTTGGACGTTCATGTTGTCCTCAGCTATGATGTGTTAGCGGAAATCCAACCATTGAAAGTAGTTGAAAAAATTAGAATAGTGAGGGGGGGGCCATCGAGAAGCTTGCCACGGTAAGTCTGGCCGGAAGTGATTTCGAGCGTCACAATATGGCCCTATAAGGCAAAGTTAGCTTGATAGCTCAATCAGGAGTGCCATATAAAGGATTACGGACCTGCGCCTCATTCAGGAGCTTAATAGGAATACCGATAGTAGAAGTCATGGTTGCGGTTGCGGGTCGATTTCGTGTTGTCGCGTGTAAACAGGCCGAGGCTGAGCTGGAGCTTGGTATATCGTGAAAATTGACGAGGCTTGGTGGTGAGGGATGTTGGAGAGGTGGACAAGAGTTGATCCGAGCCGCGAGAGTTTGGGTTGACACTGTGTGCAGCACCTACACAGGAGAGAAAAAGCACAGTGCCTGTATTTCACTGTTCTTATTATATGCTTCATCCGTACCTATAATAAATAATTGAGATCCGACATTGTCGCTGAAACATACTATTTCCCTATTAACGCCATAAACCTGAAATGCCACCCAGATAACATAACAATGCCACACGGGATTATAGAGTATCTAACCACTTATTCACTTTCGCCTTATTGCTGACTTGCTTTCTCTTGTCCACGTCCAACTTCTTTCCATGCTTCTTCTTCTCCTTCTGTTTCTTGGATGTAGTTGATTTCCGCTTTAGTGCATTGGAATTCGATATCACTACGACAGTTTCTGTAGTGTCTGCCTCTGGTTGCAGCGCTCCACTCATCAGCATGCTATCCTCGGTTGTCTTTGTTGACACGACAAGTTGATCATTTTGCTGGCCATACACTTCTTGTGTAGAGGCCGGAGGATCACTGGCTGTTGGTGTTGTCACGGTAGAGCATGTTGATAACTCTGGAGCTTGACTGGACCCTTGACTGGTCGCTTCATTGACACCCATAGATTGGTAATGGATGTATCCGCCTTGGACATTCGGCACAATCGAATTCCTCCCGGTGGGCGGTATTGATGAGATGTCCTCGAATGAGATATATCGAGCTCGGTAGTAGTACAGCCCCGAGTTGTGAAGAGCCCATTCGGACCACCGAGATCGCGTGGGCAATGGCTCAATGGCCTTCGATGCAGGAGTTGAAGGTTGGGGCTCATGCGCAGTGTGTCTTTTGTTCACCATATTCGTGATGCGGCGGTCGCTTAGCACTCCGGAACGGACATAAGTGCACGAGAACACGGGTGCGTTGAAGAGATATAATCCAGGGATATCCCTCCAAGCAAAGGGCAGCTGCGCCGGGCCGCAAACTCGAGGTTCGCAGATACTCCTAACGCAATTCCTCACCCGACAGCCTCACTCTTCTCGCTGGGTGCCGAAAGGAAGCCTGCATGCAGGAGACACACAAAAGGCGACCTCTCGTGTTTCCAGGAACCCGTGGGTCGTCGAGGTATGGTGAATAAGTCCCTGATTGGGTAAAAGATGAGCATATTATCCATATAGTTGGCTGAGAATCGTAAAGGCGTGTTTTGTGAAAGCTATGAGCGTTGGACAGGTGTCACTGCATCTGCCAATTGAACAGCTGGACTTTGACTAATCCTGCGAGGTACCTGATCTGGCAAGTCGAGCATGGATGGCCTCAGTCAAGTCCGCCTTGTCAGCTGCCTGTCGCGTGCGGCGGAATTTCGAACCAGCATGGACGCATGAAGCAATAACATCGTCCTTGCGAATAGGAGTTTTGTAATTGAGGCAAAGAACATCACAATGATAACAATCACAATAATGGCTGAAGGCCCAGCCATCGACTGGACTGCAGCAGACTAGTTTAGAGAAATTGATATGTTGAACTCACAACCGCTTATCAGCGATTCTCTTATTATTGCTTCTCTGCAGTCTCCTCGACCACTCCCTCTTTCTGGGTATCATTCTCTTGCTTCTGCTTCTTCTTTGCTGCCAGCTTCTCCCTTGTTTGTTGCTTGCGGGCCTGCCTGTTGAGGCTCCCAATCACTCCACCCTCTTTTCCGCATGGCCACTTCGCCTCAGCTGCTGCTTCGTCTTCCTCGGTCCACTCTCGAGGCAGAACAGCGAAGGTGAGATATGACGTGTGAGTCTTGAGATCGTTTTCGGGTCTATGGTAGAGATTGCCATGCATCCATGGTTTGCTATCTTCAGCAACCTTTCCATTGGCATCAGTCTTGGGCGAATCTGAAGCAGGGGTATCTACATCCATTGCTGATGAGTCGCCATCGCCGTTCGTTGACTTGAAATGCACCTTGTGGAATTCTTTCGTCTTTCGATTGATCTCCTTGAGCCTCTGCATGGCCTCCTTCACATTGGCTGGTGTTTGGACATTGCCCCTTTCCGCAGGGAGATTTGCTCCGACTCGCTCACGAATAGTGTTGATTCGCCGAGCTGAGATTTCCACCATGTCAATGTCCTTCCAGCCAAGAAGCCGGAGCTCCTCAATTGTTCTTGTGACTTGCTCAATACAAGGGGAGAAGGTACAGATATGGACACTTCGTTTGGGGTCCAGAGGTGAGACCCATTCAGGAGTTTCAGCACCCTCGCCTTGTTTCTTTAGCTTATCGGGTTTCTGTCTTGACAGGTGATGAAGCGCTTCCCAAGGCGCAGGGAGATCAAGAAAGACCGATGTTGCTTGGGGAGACTTTCCGTCCACATTGAATCCTTCTCCATAAACATCGCGATGTGTCAATTGCACGACACCATCTAGCTTATGCTCGTGGATTTCTTCTTGCATCTTAATATATCGAGGCTCGTGGTATTCAAAGCTGAAAACCTTTCCTTTTTTATCATTCTCGTCCTTGGGGTAGCCATTGTACACAGCACGCGCAGAGGCATGTGTAAAGCTTCCACTGCCGGCTCCAGCTTCGATGATTCGAGTACCAGGAACTGCTCGTATTCTTTGAAGGATGTAGCTGTAATCGGGAGTATACACGACTTGAGTTCGATGAGGCAGACTGCTTGTCCAGAGCTCGGGAGTCGGTCTAAGGAGATGGATAAAACCACTTGCAGCTGCGACAGCCTTTTTTGCAGGCTTAGAAGTCACATCAGCCACATCATCGTCTGGTCCAGTCGTTGTTGGTGTGTCATCATCTGTCGCTTCGCGGCGGCGCTTTCGTCCTCTCGAGCCAGTGTCGACATTTGAAGCACGAACTTGGGAGCCCCAAGGAATACCAAGAAGTGTCGAGTGGGGGAAAGATCCAAATCGCGTGTTTAAAGTTGCACCTTCGAGGTATCCATCAACTGCGCCAGTCGACTGTTCCAGGGTAATAGGCTGAAGGTTATCTCTGGAGAGAAGAACAATTGCCAAGTCGCCAGTGGAAGTTGTAGTTCCTGGCTCCAGGAAAGGAGATGGTTGGACCATTGACGGGACTGCACGCACAGGCGTGTCTTAAGAATTGGGTTGGTATAAGATGGGTAAAGGTTAGACTGGATTTGCAAAGACGAGGCAGAAAAATATTTCCAGGATACGCGCGAGGCTGAACAATTAGCGTTGTCTCCACTGAAAGCGTTAGTGAGGGGCACTCAATGTGACACTAAAAACGATCATGGACCAGGCTATTGGACAGACCTCGCGGGAACACTCAGGTGCTGGTCGCCTGTAGCTCCCCTGTAGGTAGCTCAGGGCTGGTCTCGGGTGACTCGAATAGCAATCTATGGCGTCTTTCTCTCCCTTTGACTCGACTGTGACTCAGGCCTCTCGTTGTAGACATTTGTCTTGTTCTAAGGTACATTGCCTCGCCTTGCATATACACCTCCTTTTGTCCTCCTCGATACCCTCCCTCTACTCTCCTTTTCTCGTATTTCTCCTTCGTCCTACCTTTTGGCGTCTGTATGAATCTCTTTCGACAACGTCTCATTCGATATAAAATCCCCACTCCGTTCTCGACGCCCCGACTGCGACCCCTCCATCGATTGTATTCGTCTCTATCCAGCTCCAACACGAGCACAATGGAGTCGCTAAAGCTCTATAACTCGCTCAAGCCTGGCGCTCCAGTGCCATTTGTTCCTATTGAAAAGGGAAAAGTTACCTGGTATGCTTGCGGTCCTACTGTGTACGACAAGAGTCACTTGGGCCATGCTCGCAACTATGTCTCTACAGACATTATTCGTCGCATTCTAATGCATTACTTTGGCTTTGATGTCAAATTTGTCATGAATATTACCGACATCGACGATAAGGTATGACGAAGAGCTCGCTGAATATTATGCGACTTGTCTAAACCTCTGCAGATCATCATCAAGGCACGACGACAACGATTGCTCGAGCTCGAGAAGAACAAGAAATACACAAAGGACGAACTTCGAGATCTGGCCCTGGCCGCTTTCCGGGCATACGCTAAGAGCAGTCTGCCTTTGCTGCTAAAAGACGGAGAAGACATTGATGCGACCAACTATGCTCAGCGCCGAGAGGCTGGATATGGACACGTGCTTGCGGGCGGTACCATTTCTGGCGAGGGAAAGCCTGGCGACGATGAGGCCAAGGTCAAAATGCACCTCAGCAACATGACTGCTGCCGCTGAAGCTATTGCTTCTGGCGAGATCTTCCCCGGCACCGACGAGATTCTATTGCCCTTCCTCGATTCGCTTTACAGGGAAACTATTGACACGAGGGATCAGACCATGTTCACAGATCTGACTCAGAGCATGGAGAAGCTATTCATGGACGACATGGATGCGCTCAACGTACTGCGACCTGACGTTGTCACTCGAGTTACCGAATACGTTCCCCAAATTGCCGATTTCGTCAAAAGAATTGTCGATAAGGGATTCGCATACGAATCTGAGGGATCTGTCTACTTTGATATCTCCGCGTTTGAGCAAGCCGGAAATACTTATGCGCGACTGCGTCCTGACAACCGAAACGACAAGTCTCTCCAGGAAGAAGGCGAGGGTTCCCTCTCGAAAAACCTTGGCGGAAAGAAGAATCCCGGCGACTTTGCTCTGTGGAAGAAGTCCAAGGCTGGCGAGCCCTTCTGGCCTAGCCCTTGGGGAGATGGACGTCCTGGATGGCATATTGAGTGAGTTGAAACGAACCAAGGCAGCTGTGTAACGAGCTAACAAGTGAAATCAAGGTGCTCGGTTATGTGCAGCGATGTTCTAGGAGCAACAATTGACATCCACTCTGGAGGTATCGACCTGGCATTCCCTCATCATGACAATGAGTTGGCACAGAGCGAGGCTTACTTCTGCGAGCATGGCAAGGGCGAACACACATGGGTCAACTACTTTATCCACATGGGCCACTTGTCGATTTCTGGATCCAAAATGTCCAAGTCTCTCAAGAACTTCCAAACTATTCAGGATGCATTGGCTACGAACTACTCTTCAAGAGGAATGCGAATTGTGTTTTTAATGGGTCGATGGAACGATGGTGTCGAAATTTCACCGGATATGCGATTGCAAGCTGACAACTGGGAGTCAACCATCAGCGTGAGTATGACTCAGACCTCGACTCAACATGACTGACACATGGCAGAACTTTTTTATCAACGTCAAGGCATTGCTGGCGGAGGCTGGCATTTCACATGATGTCAAGTCTCTGTCTCTCAACGCAGATGGTAAGGCCAGTGAAGGTCTTTTGGCTGAGCTCGAACAAGCCAAGAAGGACTTTGAGGCTGCTTTGGTCAACTCAATCGACACACCAAAGGCTATGTCTGTTATCCTCAAGTTGGTCAACACTGCCAACGTGCACTTGAGAGACAACAAGGACGCTGATCTTGTGGCTCTTGAGTCTATTGCACGCTGGATCACCAAGATTGTGGGCATCTTTGGTCTCGATTCAAATGCTTCGCCGCCATATGAAGGCCTTGGCTGGGCCACAGTCATCGCCTCAGACGTTGAGCCAAAGACAGCCGTTCAGCCCTACGCCGAGGTCTTCACCAAGGTCAAGTCAGATGTTTCTGGCTTGTCTCTAGAGAGCGCCGAGATTTCTTCATTGCTTGAGCAAGACCCTACAGCTGAGGTCGAGTCGATCGCTTCTGGTGGCTCTCGCGACCCTGAGCAATTGGCTTTGCCTTATCTTCGTGCCGTCTCTAAGCTTCGAGATGAGCTGCGTCGCATTGTTTCTAACCAAACACCCGAAACGAAGAAGGCTATTCTTTCTTTGACAGATCGTATTCGCGACGAGGATCTCACAAACCTGGGTGTTTACTTAGACGACA